AAAAAAAAAAAAAAAAATGATGTAAAGATAAATAAATATAAATGTCAGGGATGGTTGTAAGTTGTAACAGTGATATTTATTGAGGGGTGTGATGATGGGAAAGCATCATAACTGGCCAACCATAAGCAATTGGTACGAGACGTATGGCTAGTTGAGCAATTTATCAATAAAAAAAAATAAAAATAAAAAAAAACATGTGGACAAAAAAAAAAAAATAAAATAAAATAAAAAGGGAATGAACAACAATAAAAGAACACGTATTTAAGGAATACGTTTTCTATACGTTTTTTCAGATTTTTTTACAAAAGAAAACGTATTCAATGAATACGTTTTACAATTAAAAAAATGGTAAAACGTATTCACTGAATACGGAATTTTTATTTTGGTCCACTCTTATTTGTTTGTGTATTTTTTTTCCACAACTTAATTTTTTTTAATTTTCTCGTAAAAAATTCATGGCTAGTTGGCCACAATATTTATACTTATCACAATCCAATTTTTGGTGTGATGATGATGAGACGATTTTTCCATTCACTACTAATAAATATTATGTTACGTGCTCAAGTGAAATCTGCAACTATTAAATTGTTTTTGAATCCATCTTTCCTATTTGAGACCTAAAAGTTCGTATTCTTGGATTAATAAGAACGATAAATTCGTATAAATAATTTTCAGCAGCTCAAAAGAAATATAATGAATTACAAATTAATTTCTATCATTTCTCTGATTATTTTTTTTTTTTCAAGAGCAATCTCTAAGTGGATTTTAGACTTTTGGAGACGAATCGTCAGGTTGATCTCTGTTGGTCTTGAACTTAGATTTTAATAACGTTTCTTTGAGGGCTTGACAGCTTGATCTCGAATCGAATGTTACGATTTCTCAAGAACGTGAGGAGTACAAGTCGTACTGGTCTTCGCGGCAAAAATGATCTTCAATTTTCTCTACGCCGGTCTTGACTTTAATAACGTAATTCGGAGGCTTGACAGCTTGTTTTCGGATTAAACGTCACTTGAACGCACTTGAACCTCCCTTCAGATCTTCAAGAACGCATTTAGATCTTCAAGAACATTTGAATCTCGATGAATCTTCATTCGGATCATCAATAACGCACTTCAATTTGATTGGTCCATAATTTTCAATATTTATTTATTAATAATTATTTAAAAAAATAATTAGGAGAGAGTCTTTGGAAAAAAAAAAAACTTCAATTTGATTATTCCATGAATTTCCACTATTCACATCTTTAATAATAGTTTAAGAAATAAATATTTATTTTACTCTCCCAAATAAAATAGAAAATTATTAAATTATCTATGACATGAAATTTGGATCTTGTTGCCACTTTATTGGCTAAAAATTTGGCTGTCTATTTGCAAATGAAATTTACTAAAAAGACGTACGATTGGATAAAGAAAACTAGGAGTGGAATAATTGATTGGATAGAAAGAATGAATTAATTTTGAAGTTGTGAATGAATATGAGATAAAATGTAATGAATAAAAGTAATGTGATGTAAAAATACTATAACAATTAGCACTTTAGCAATCTCAAACGGGTCGGTTCGTTCTAGTCCGTCCCGGTCCGTGGTTCGAACAGGGTCAACCAAAGTGGAGCGCGTTTCCACGGGCCCAACGACATCAGCCGACGGGCCAAATCTACCCCCTCGCGACCAATTACCTACAAATTATCTATTGATTTAGAATAATTAGAGATTACCTACAAACAATTACCTACAAATTATCTATTGATTTAGAATAATTAGAGATTACCTACAAACAATTACATACAAATTATCTACAAATTTAAATAACTATAGATTGCTAACAAAATATTACTACATCTAGTTCGAGATTACCTCTAGAGATTTCTTACAAACTATCACTTTTTTTAGTTATCTACAGATTTAAATAGAGACTACTACGGTGCACAAAAAATAAATTTGAACAAAATGAGTAAAAGAATAATAATATTGTGACTTTGGGAATTCAATAAATTCTCGAGAACGTGTAATAAATCCAGCGTACCAAATTCTGATATCAAACATTTGCATTATTAAATATAATTTTTCTGTTGAGTTTTCAATAAAGAAATAAATATTTTTATGATATTTAAATTCAACACAAATTTAGGAGACAAAATATAGTATAATGGAATAATTATTTATAGTTGATTACAAGTCAATTTTGTTTCTAAATTTTTTATCCAAACCTACATACAAAGCATGATATTGTAAATTTAGGATTTCAAAACGAGCTTGCTACTTAGGCTCAACACCTTTTAAATTAATATATCAGGAGTTACCTACAACAAAATAGTTAGAGATTTCTTACAAATTATCACTGTTAATTACCTACAGATTTAAATAGCTACAGATTACCAACAAACTAGCATTATCAATTACCAACAACTTACCTACATTTTCACAAGCATTCCCAAAAAAAGTTGTCTCGTGAACCAACATAACAGAATCAAACAAGTACAAATCCATAATAAAAAGCATAACAATTCACATCTAAGATAGCAAATACAAGTACCAAAACGAACTACCGAATCATCTAACTGTCGTTAAGCTTGATCTCACCACCACTTTGAGATGTGCTCAAGCGAGACATCATCATCTCAAATCGTTCTTCAAAAGTCTGAAATCTTTGTCGCAACTCATCCAACTTCAAATAATCAAAAATCAATAAATATAACTTTAAACAAATATTTTGCCAATAAAACTAAAGTAAAGAAAAGTAAAGTTACCTGTGATATTATGCCACAACTCCCAATACCGCGTCGCTTCTTACCAATTCCTCCAACAGCTGCGATGTAATGCTCGTCGATTCTTTTATTGCTTTCTGCTTCATCTAAGTTGGAGTCGACGGTGAATGACAGATTGTTTGAATTAACAGACTCCAACGATAACTGTAAATGTTTTGAACAACAAGGCCATAGCTCTTTATCAGTTGCATTAAGCATGTCGTAAAATCTTTTGGAATCTGGATTTGGAGATTCCTCTACATCTGACGAACGTAACATCGGTTCGAACTCAGGAATAGCAACATCCATTACCATTGTGTTGTAATCCACCGTCTGTTGGGCGTGTTCTCTGCAATGCACATTTGAGTTGTCCACTTCAACATGTATCTCACCATGTCTGTCCCAAATGTAATAATCGGGAACAAAGCCATATCTTGCAAGGTGATATTTGACTTCGTCGGGTTGAAGAAAAATTGCGGTTCTGACACTTTCGATGTTTACACGGACATCTAATTTTATCCTCATCCATCCTTTCGACATTCGACTTGATTACAAGCAAAGTGCACAAATGTTTCTAAACCTTCTACGAATTCGTCGGTTAGACAACCATTTTTCATCCTATTGTACATCCATCTACGATCTCCACTCATTTTTTAAACACACAAGAGATTCTGAAAAATGAAAACATGTCATAGTTTAGATACATTAGAGATACAAATAAATTAATTTGATATAAACTTAGAAAAGTTAAAACCAGTAAATATAATTCATCTTCAAATATAATGCAGCTTCAAATATTATCTTCCAAAAAGATAAATATTCAGATTTCATATGTTCCACTCCAAAGGAAAAATCACAAACTCAATAACTCATACCCGCACAGACTTAACACACACACACACACACACACACACAGAGATTCTGCCTTCCTCTGAAGGTAGTATTAGTACTAGAGAGACGGACCCGGTGATGTAAAACTAAACCTTTTACCAAAGAATCCGGCGAGAATTAGGAGACAGGTCTGGTCATGAGATGGGTTCGCGTGAATGGAGAGGGCCGACGAGAATTGATGCAAGTTTGGTTCCTAATCTTCTCGAGCCGGAGAGAATCAACAGGCGGCGAGAATCGATGGGGACGGCGGCGCGAGTTTGAAGAGATTTTCGGAGTTGGGGCTTTTTTTCGTCGATTGAAAGTGAAGAGGAGTTTTCGAAAAAATAAAATAAAATAAAATAGAAAGTGAAGAGGAGGCCGTCGGATCCTTTGTTATGCATCAAATAAGCACGCCACGTGTCCAATGTAACCGTCTTGTACACGCGTCGCCCATCTGATTTATTCTGCCATGCACACTTGAAGATTTCCCGCTTAGGCCACGTGGAACAAGATAACAGCATCCACGTGCAACCAACATGCATTCAAAATCATAACTGTTCCCGCCAACAGTTTGAGCGTCGCGCCAACACTCGCGCGCCCATCAAGCCGCATCAGCAACCCGCATAGCTTAGAGTTAATCCTGCCCAACATATTGTGAAGGCGCCGTACCGCCTTGCTACTTTGCCCGCACATCTTTGCGTGGCCATGCACAACCCGCAAAGACTTGACTGATCCCATGCTCAGTCTACATTGACTCGGCCCTGCAACCTAGCATCCTCGCCAAGCTAGCCCGGAACCTTTTACCCACGTCAATGTACTTGTTCCCTTATCCGACACCGTGCACAAGTGCCCGGTTTCTTGACCCTTGGCGCACATAAGGGAATGCGCCCGGGTCCAGCTCAACTCAGGTCCGTAACAAACTTCCCCCGCCTGAGCTCGTCGACGCCCTCGTCGACTGGGGGTTCACCATCCTTCTTGCCTCGTACTCCGCAATCTTATCAGTAAATTGCCATAGTTTTGTATTTCGAATCCAAGTAGCGTCCGACTCGGACTCACCCTTCCACTGGACAAGATAGTCTGTCCGCCAATTCTTCTTACTTTGGCCAAGGGTCCTATGATCCAAAATTTTCTCCATCTCCTTCGTGAAATGGTCCCGCACCGTAGGAGGAGCTCGAGTAGAGACATTTCGGCTTGCCTCAATCAAATCAGGATGGTACTTCTTCAAGTAAGATACATGAAATGTGGGATGTACCTTCAATCGGTCAGGCAGCTTAAGCCGATAGGCCACATTCCCAACTTTGCTCACGATTTCAAAGGGACCCTCGTACTTTGGAATCAGTCCACGATGGACTGCCTTCGCCGAGATCCTTTTCCATACCTTTGGGCTCACTTTTAACAACACGAGATCCCCGACAGCGAATTGCACGTCCCGTCGCCCGCGGTCCGCATATTTCTTCATTCTTCACTGCGCCTTAGCAAGGCTATCTCGGGCCTCTACCAAGAGTTCGTGCTGCGCCCGAGCATATCGATATGCCGCGGGGCATTTCCCACCAGTCCGCTGTACCGCTACATCATGCGGTAGCTGGGGTTGCTGTCCATAAACCAGCTCAAAAGGACTCATACCGATCGCCGAGGACTTGTGCAAATTATAACAAAACTGGGCCATATCCAACAATTCCACCCAATTATCCTGGCTTGCGGTCACATAATGCCTGAGATATTCTTCAAGCAACTGATTCATCCGTTCAGTTTGGCCATCAGTTTGAGGATGATAGGCCGTGGAAAACTTCAGTTCGGTCCCCATCAAATTGAACATGGTCGTCCAGAATCGTCCCGTGAAGCGCGGGTCACGATCACTCACTATGTCATCGGGCATACCGAAATATTTCACCACATGCTTGAAAACAAACTCAGCAGCAAGGTCTGCCGAGCATGCACCTGGAGCAGCAATAAATATCCCATACTTTGAAAATCGATCAACAATGACCAACACCGAGGCCATACCTTTCACCTTTGGAAACCCGCCAATGAAATCCAAAGATAGTGACTGAAAAGGCTTGTCCGGAATAGGCAAGGGTTGCAACAGGCCCGCCTCTTTCTTCTTTTCGTCCCAAATATTAAAAAAATAATTATTTTAATTTATTTTTTGTTGCAATTTTTATTCTGTGAGTATATAACAATATTTGATAGTAAAAAGGAGAAAAAAAGTTACTATAAAATGCTTTCTATATTTCAAATTATTATTAATTAAATATTAAATATATTAAAAAAATATTTTTTTCAAGACAACATTAGTTGATATTATTTTTATTTTTATTTTTATTTTTTATTTTTTAAAATTTCATTAACTTCTACAATTATATTTGTCTTTTTACACTATAATTATAATAAAATTAAATAATTATTTTCTAAATACATTTATTATTCAATTAAAAATATTAAAAAATATAGAACACATTGTATGGTAGATAATTTTTTTTAATATAATAATAAAAATATAAATTTAATCAAATTTGATCAAGTTATTTAAATTTATATTTTGTTATAATAAAAAAATAATAAATATTTATTAACTTATTTAAAAAAAATATAATTGACAAAAATTATAAAATACCAATCTTTGGGACTAAATAAACCAATTCCGACTGATTCATTGGAAATCAGTTCGTCCAAAGGAATTATATTTGGGACTCACGGAATAAATATGTATTAGGGTGACAGTCGGAGTTCAATGACTCTGATTTCGAAATGTGACAACAAAAGATATTTTTCTACCAAATCAGGAGAGTTACCAATTACCAGCAACTACCTTAATAACTATTAGTCAAATATAAATATAACTAAACTTGAATTCTAGTATTTATGTAAATAAATATGAATCTTGCTAGTAAAAATATATGAGGTGTAAATATGTAATAAAAGTATATTTTTTTTTTTTGGTACAAAGGTAATAAAAGTATATTAAGTAGTCGACTAGGTAATTTTTTTCTTTAAATCTTTATATATGTGGACGCATATCATTTCTCCAATGTCCAAACTCCAAACCACTCTTAATCCTATACGATCCATTATGAGCCCAGACCAGATAAAGCCCATAACACAGGCCCATTAACACGAAATCCTAATTTCTCCCCGTCGAAAAATAAATCTAATGTCTAGGGCTCAATCATCCATCTGTATCAACATTCAGCAAAATCACAGCGAAGTAAAAGAAGGAAACATGGAGGGTGGAGACGACGGAGTAGAGCGAGTGGTGGACTCGAAAGACCTGCAGCAGCAGAGCAAAGCCCTCGACAAGCTCACCGATCGGGTCGAGGATCGCCAACTCGACTCGACCCGAGTCCAGGAGGTGAGTTGACTCGGTTCTTCAAATCTTTTGTATTCATAGGGTTAACTGGGGCCTGGGCATTGCTTGGTGGATTGTGTATAAATACCTGTTTTCTGTTTGTTGTTTGCTTCAGGCTATGGCTTCGATTGCTGCATCAAAAGAAGCTGATATTCAAGCTGCCAGATTGAGGTTCATTTTCACCTTTTCTTTTCTCTTTTGGTGGTTCTTTTTCGTGTTTGTGTGAAGTTAGATTGTAAATGTTGGGATTTTCATGGATGTTGAAGATTTCTTGCTTATTAGTTTTGGATGGTTTTGTTAGTAAATGCCTAGAAGATATATGTGTGAAGAATTGGATGACTTTGAGCGTCTACCACCTCGGTGCTTGGTTTCAGTTTAAAGAAATCTTGGAGTGTTTAGTATGAATTATTGGGTCTCAAGTTTGTATGAAAAAGGTTGGAAATCTCTTATAGATATCAAATGAAGTTCTACATTATATTTCTCTTGTGATCTGCCAGATATAGTAGTTAACATGGAATTGAAATGCCCTAAAATATTTAGAGAAATTATTTCTAGTGTTTCATTGTTTCATCTAGGTTAACCTAATCTATATTCTGTTCATAAGCATTGAACTCGTTGAGTTTGCGAGTTCTTCTATTGGTATTACAAGTGGTTCTATTTGGCAGATAGGTTGAAGTGGTGCTTCTAGGCATATAGGGTGACTGGACATACTAATTTAGTTAGACATTTAAGAAAACATGGTTTATCTCGGGATGATTGATACTCGAAAGTGTTTTTTAAGTTACACTGGATATTTGTGTTGAGGCTGAATTACCACCAGCTTTTATGAATAGAGCATGGATATGAGTTGAGTGAGCCTGTATGATTATGCTGCATGTGAACAGAATAGAATTTCTCGTACATGCTTGCTTTTAAAACACGGTCTGCAGTCTACTTTTTGTTTAGAAAGAATTTGTGGTAAATCAGTTGAGGGAGGAGAAATATGGTGTTTGCTGAACCACAAAATTTGTGCTTGGTGTTCTTTTCTATCACAGGGAGAAAGAATTGGCATCTGTCAAAATTAATGCCGCGGATATTGATGTCATCGCAAATGAATTAGAGGTATCATTTTTTTCAACTCTTCATTTTTTTATTTTTATTTTCTTAGTTTTTTCGTTTTCCTTTCTATTTTGTTGCTCTGTTTTCTCGCTCCCCTTTTTTGTTTACGCTAGCGCCTTAATTATTTCGAGAGCAGCTGGACAAGAAAGTTGCAGAAAGGACATTGCGTGAGCACAAAGGAGATGCGGTTGCAGCTATTAGATCCTTGCTTTACTAACAAACTCTTCATGAAGAGAACTACGGTTTTTATTTGCTCGAAAGTTTGTATGGTCATAGATTGTGGTCACAACACATTTGCTCGAAAGCTGAAATTTGGAATAGCCTTTTTGACTGTATTATGCTTGTTAAAGCATGCTACTTCTGCAAAAAAAATTGTTGTTTACCGTAACAAGTCTTGGCAATCATTCTTTTTTCATTGTTGTTTCTTTTTTCCTTCACCTTTTCTATTTCGTGTTAGTTATATAGTACAGCCGGGAAGTGTTACATGGCAAGTGGTTTATAATTGTGAAGGGTGGTGCAATTGTATGATAGAGAAATGGGTTTTTCGGTTTTGCTATGGAGTCATTGGACGGCTAGGCTTATGGAGCCATCCATAGTTATTCACAAATGGTGTATTGACACGTGTCATGCATTAAATACATATTGGACATGTGTTAGTACATAAAGTTATGAATGACTCCATAAAGGATCCATCCGATGGCTCCATTGAATTTCTGATGAAACAAAAGACTAAACTAGACTGTATTCACACTCAAACCCACCTACTGTTGATAAACAATTGTTACAGTAATCGTGTGATGCACGGAGGTGTTATTATTATTTGTGTTTTTTAAAAGCCAATTTTATATTAAAATAGTGAAACTAATAAATATAAAGAAATTTAAATCTATATATTATTGAGCACTTCATTAAGTGCAATTGGTGATCCTACTTCCGAACAATGCATCTCATATGTGATCAGTTGGTCAACATATTGCCCCTATACCGTACATGTCTTCATGTTTCCCTATAAGAACAATTTCAAATTAGATGCAAATTAGTATTTTTTTTATTGAAGTAAATACATATATATTGGCCGAAAACACACACACACACACACGCTCTAAATACATGAGTGATAACCAATGTTCTCAAAACTGGATCGGTCATCGAACCGGTGAAATTATTGGTTCAATGGTTTACTGGTCGGACCATTGGTCGAACCGGTCGAACCGGTTTAACTAATATATAATTTATTTATTTATTTTATATATATAATATATAAATATATATATATTTATCATTAATTTTATAGCATATAATGACATTTTTCTAAATAAGAGTTGATAAATCAATATTTCAAGTGTAGTTTACCATAAACAATACTAAATAAAGTTCACTAAAACAATAGATTAATAATTCAGGATAATGCTCTCCTACCCACGGTGGGTACATGTTAATATGCCCACCGCTTATGTGGCATGCACATATTGGTGATGTTAATATGTTTAAAAGAATACATCACCAATGAGTGCATGCCACATAAGCGGTAGACATATTAATATGTGCCCACCGTGGGTAGGTGAACATTACTCTAATAATTTATTATCTAAAGCAAGACAATCTAAATTACAATACAAACTATAAAGTCATCAAACATTAAAATATATCCAATTCAACATTACAATTCATCAAACTACAAAATACTATCTCACTCTTCTTTTTTTATTTTTTTTATTTCATCAAGATTTTTTTTTTTAAATTTAAGAACCGGTTCGACCGGTCGAACCGGTACCGGTTCACCGGTTTTGAACCGGTTCGACCGGTCCGATACCGGTTCTTGCTCCCAGCGGCCCAAACATGCAAATCGGACCGGTACTAGGTCCAATTCCCAGTCCAACCGGTCGAACCATCCGGTCCGGTCCGTTTTTGATAACATTGGTAATAACACAATCATTTGAGTTGAATCTCCCACTCATTCCATTAGAATTGGTCACAATCATTTGAGTTGAATCTCCCTTCACTCATTCCATTTGAATTGGTTGAATCTCGATAATCAATCCAATGACATTTAAAATGTGAAATAAAAAAGAAAAAATTCTTATTATTTGAATAATTTTCTTTATCCATCTACAATAATGATCTATTTATTTATCAAAACTGTCAACCGTACAAAATTAAATAACAGGTAAATATTAAACAATACGTAGTAGGTACATGATAGGATAATGATCATGTTAGAGGAAAGACCAAAAAAACAGAGGAAACAACTCATAGCTTCACATCTTAACTTCAGAAAAAACATTCATCTTAATCCTCTCTGGTTTCCAGATTATGCTCAACCAGAACATGCATCACTATAACGTGCCGTTACAAACTATAGCTTCCGTGAAATATCACACATAGTTCACCACTTATCGCATGTTGGTCAAACTCTTCACCTTCGCTCGGGGCTTGGGTAAATCGAGAACTATTCGGAAATAACATCCCTGAGATTCTCTGATGTATTGAACTTCGCCATTCATAAGCTTCAAAATTTTCCTGCACATGCTCAGCCCAAGTCCTTCGTGGGTCGTCCAGTGACTGTTGTGAAATATGTCCTG